ATCCCTACAGGTAAGTCGATTAATCTTATAATTATTCATCGCGTCTTCGTCCTTCTATGATAGTTGATAGATGTTTAAAGAACCAAATTCGGGTGCAGCTTACCGATAAATCTATATTTGAGAGTGCAAAATGATGTTTTTTTGTAGGTACCTACATACAAAATAAAAAAAATAAAATTTTTGGGGGATAAAATGTATAATTTTATTATATAATTTTATCATATTTTTGTAATTTAACAAACACAATGTATAATATATATAGTTTCTGGAAATAACTTAAATAATTTTATAACAAATTGGAAAAAAAAACAATATAATTTTAATACAATAAATAATTATCCAAATACAAATTATCTGGTAGTTATTTCTTTCTACATTTAAGGATACACCTAGCAAAACTACCTTTTTCCTCAATAGTTGGCCTATTATAAAAGGTATTAAAAACTCTAGATTTCTCAGTCCAGCCTGCAGTCTTTAAAATTAAATCTATATTTAGGCCTGCTCGAAATCCGAACGATGTCGCCGCGTGCCTAACTGAATGACTACTAAATATCTCTGTGTTAATCCCACTTTTACCTAATATTTCTTTTATCCATCGGCTAAGAGTTTGAGTTGAAGCTGGATGATAAGGTTTCTGGTAAGTATAAATTAATGAATCATCTGTTCTAAATTCTTTTGTAACCTTAATATAATGGTCTATAAGAGATGCCACACAAAGGCTTGGATTTTCATTAAAAAATGGAAAGATAAGAACGGGTTGAGAACGGTTCAATCCAGATGTTTTTATTATTGATGATATTTTTATTTCTAACCTATCCTGAAATTGCAATATGTTTTTTAATTCAATCTTCGATAAAGTTTGCATACGATGGGCTGAGGTGAGAGCTAATAACACAGTCAACTTATGGGTTAATTCTTTGAGGGACAGTGATTCTAATGGAAACATTTTTTCCAAGTAATTTAAAACAGGACTTGGGTCCCACGTATTTGAATATCTAGGTTTTGACGGGTTTTTTTTATAAGCCCCTTTTAAGAACCGTTTTATTATCTTTTCATCATTTGTTCCAAAATCAAATAATAAAGATAAGGCTGACCTTGAACAGTTGAGTGTAGAATAAGATAAACCCTCATCTAGCATTTCCAGCAAAAAGGCCAAAATGTTATCTAAAAAATAAATGTAGGGATTGTATTTCTTATTTAAACAAAAATGCCACCACTTTTTATACACAGTTGTATACTGTTTTAATGATTTTTCTGAGATGGATGCTAACATTATGGGAATGGCCGAGTCCGGAATCTTTTTGGTTCTCATCGCCTCCCAGACAATTTCCCTGCCACCAGGGAAAGGGATCTGTGAAGCGGATGTGGATGCCTGAAAGGGGAAATCAGTAAATTTTTGTTTGCTTTAAAAATTAATGGTTTCTCTATTAATAGTTGAACAAATGTCGGATACCACGGTTGTGAAGGCCAATAGGGCACAACAAGAATACCAGTAGCCTGTTCTTCCTGAATTTTTTGTAAGATTCGGCCTATTAATGTAAATGGTGGAAATGCGTAAAAATAATATGTTTTCCATTCAATAGTGAACGCATCCACTGCTAGACTGTGCGGATTGGGGTACCACGACACATATCTTAAGCATTTTGCGTTATTGCTAGATGCAAAAAGATCAATGGATGGTTCTCCATAATTTTCTTTTATTCTTTGAAAATATTTAGATCCTAACTCAAATTCAGTATTTTCAAATTTTGTTCTTGATAAAATATCTGCTTTTGAATTTTTTAGAGTATTGATGTAAGAAGCAAACACATAAATGTTTCTAAACTCGCACCAAAGCCAAATATCTCGGGCAATTTTATTGAGTTTCCTATATTTTATACTTCCCATTTTATTTATACAGGCTACAGCAGTTTTGTTATCAATACGTAATAATATGTTACAATTTTTATAATTTGTAGTTAGAGACTGTAACCCATTAAGGGCTGCTAACAATTCCAAATAATTTATGTGTTCAGTTCTTTCCTCAACACTCCAAAAACCCTTTGCCTCTAAATTATCTGTGTGTGCCCCCCATCCTGTTTTTGAAGAGTCTGAATAAATTTCTAGAAGATAAGATTCTTTGATAAATTTTCTACCAGAAAAAGCTAAATTCTGCAGCCACCAACAAAATTCATTTTTTAAACTTGTGGAAATTTGCATCTTTTTGTTAAAATCTTGTTTGTATAGTTTTAGATTTCTTTGTTTTACTCTCTCAAATGGTTTTGTATGAAGCCAACCATATTTAAAGGCAGGAGCCATTGATACTAACTTCCCAACAAGGGATGCGAATTCTCTAATTCTACAAACCTCTCGATGTCTAAATTTTTCCAATAAATTTCTTGTAATTTCTATTTTTCTATTTGGTAATTTAATCTCCATTAAACTAGAATTAAATGTAAAACCTAGAAACTCGATTTCTTTTGTTGGTAGCAATATACTTTTCTTATAATTTATTACAAAGCCTAAAAATTCTAACAAATCCTTGGTCATTTCTAAAAATTTTTTACATTCGCTGTAATCTCTGCCTATAAGCAATATGTCATCAAGGTATATAACTAATTTTACTCCACGTTCTCTTAAATATTTAACAACGGGTTTTAATAATTTCGTAAATATATATGGTGCTATGTTTAAGCCAAATGCAACGCAATTAAATTGGTATAGAGTATTTTGAAATATAAATCTAAAATATTTTTTATAATTGTTATCTATAGCCAAAAGAAAATAGGCTTCTTTAAGGTCTAACTTTGCAAAATATGAATTTTTTGATATTAAACTAGCAGCAGTTCTGTAGTCTTCTAGTTTAAAATGTTCTGTAGGAATAAACTTGTTTAATAATTTTAAATTTAGTATAAAACGAAATGTCTTATCAGGTTTTTTAATTAGAAAATATGATGATAGAAATTGATCTTCTATAAATTCGCATTTACTTATCACCCTTTTTATTAACAATTTATGTATCTCCTGCTTAAATATTGGAATTTTCGCAGGAGGTATTCTAGGTATAAGGTTACCTATATGTTTATTTTGTTTTGGTATCTGAGAAAATGGTAATTTAATACCTCTCAGCCATTGAATAACATTTTTGGAGCCTGGTAAATTGCACCACCTGGTTTCAAAATATTTTAATCTTCCCGCTATCATATCTACCTTTATTTCCAGGTTTTGGAGCTCCTGAACTTCCGATACTTTTGATGATGGTTGTAGTGCTCCCTGCGGTAACCCTGGTTTGCTGTTTTCCTTGGGTATTGGTTCTTCGCTGGCGACTCCCTTTCTTTCATTCTTTTTTTGTACTGTGGACGCTTGAAGTTTAAATGCTGAGTACCTGAAGGGCCCGCAGCAGAAATGTATACTTTCTTTGGTTTCTTTATCTCATCTGCTGCTTTTCGTAATGTCTGGCATGACCTTAATTTCTCCAGAAACCCAGATCCAAAGAGATATTCATCGATAGGACTTTGCTGAGCTGCTGATCTGCTTTCTTCATTTATGAATGGTTGAACCTCAAATTTACGTTTCACTGACAGTGCTTGATGTGTTGCAGCAATTAGTTGCGCTGCATCTGCTAATTTCTGCAATTTTTCGTCGTCCAATGTGATTGTAGCATTTGGTTCAACAATTTTTAAATTTATAATTTGACCCAATGCTGTTAAAGCAGCTCCCATCTGCTCCTGAAGATTGGTAAAAAAATAATCATTTTTTTGAATTTGATTTGGCAAAACAGACTTTATCTCATCATTCATCTTTGGAGCCTGGAGAGCGAGACAATTAGATGGAAAAGGAAATTTCTTGATCGGATCTTTCCGATTTTCTGTCAATACACCTTCTCTGAGGTAGTTGGACCACCGAATTACCAATTCTTCATGTAGTTCCGCTCCCATACTATTAATTGTCTTTGGATTTTCTCCGAGAAAATTGAGAACTAGATGATTTTTGTCTAAACCAGCAGAATCATGGTCTGAGGATGTATCTGAATCTGTTAAATAAAACAAAACCCTTAATAATAAACAAGGCAAACAATAATCTGCCTATTTAAATATTTTAATCCATTTAATTATTATTTACAGACAATAATCTGCAGGTTTCTATTATCAAAACAGCCACACCCTAATTAATTACGTGGCATTACTCTGCAGACAATAATCTGCGGGCTTCTGTGATCAAAACAACCACACCCTCAATTATTTTCTAGGCATTACTCTACAGACAATAATCTGCGGGCCATTTGTAGTCAATAAACTACACCCATGACTCTATATTATTTTCCTTTATCGGTTTTTATAAAAAGAATGCAAAAAATGTTCAAAAAACTACTACCTACTTAATACTCTTTCCAAACGTGCCATTTTCTTCTTTAGTTTCTTAATATCTTCCAAAGCTTTTCTTTTTTCTTTTGTTCTTGGCATTTTTTAAAAAGATTTTTGCACAATCTTAAATATATTAACACTCGCGAAGCGCAATAAAATGAAACTGAGCCAGGTACATGGGTTTATCGCCAGGCCGATGTGGGTACCGTATAGCAGTTTTTTGGCTTTAAAATCATTGCGCGCGATCCACAATAAAGTGTATCTATCAACTATCATAGAAGGACGAAGACGCGATGAATAATAAGTATTCGTGAAGGTTTCAATATATCGCGCATACTTGAATTCAAGTTGGTTCCGTCCGATTTTTTTTTTAAGATTATTGTGATGCATACCAAATGACGCAGAATTTGACGGCAAATCCAACACTATAAATAACTTGAATTTGGATTTTTATCGCTCACGTTTTACTGTCATGGAAGCGTCGAATGGGATAAGGGTATTGTTGAAGACTCTGTAGATTAGTAGTATTTGGGACAAAGAAACTAATAAAGCTGTATAATAGGGATAAGTATTTTTTTCTCGACAAATGGTTCAAATCATATTTGTAAGAATTAAAAATGCGCCAATTTTTATATTTGAAAAATTTTTGGTACTAACCTAGTTGATAATCTAAATGATTTAATGATGATTTTTTAATGTACAACGGTCCATTTAGCAATAAATAGTCGCTTCTTCTTTCTGTAAGATTTATAATTCTTCTTAGTATAATTTTGTCTCTTAAATGGGATCTGCAAGGTTGGTCTTTTATTAGTGTTCCCTGTTCTGATGGTATAATGGTTGCCTTTAATACTAAATCGGTTCTTTCACTAAAAAATTATTAATAAGATTATTTTATTCTTTATTATGTTATTAGGATTAGTCTTTATAAATAAGAAGGTAAATTAAAAATAACTTTTAGCGAATGCCTCTTGCTTCAAAAAATTTTAGTTTGATGTGATGAGGTGATGGCATAAAATAAAAGTTGATTAAGGGATAACTGATGTTTGACGCGTGTGATGCAATGCAAGTGTGAATAAGATATGTAGTGCATGTAAGTCACTACATAAGGTTTAGGACAAGCCTTTTGACCTCTGAGTAAAGTTGAAAGTAACAACTTTCTGATTAAACTATAGGGCTATTGTTTGTTAATCTGTCAAGTAAACCTGCATGTAACTTTACTCAGAGGTGAAAAGAGCGACCATAAGCCAATTAACCTATCTTTACAATAAAAATTGTAAATGTATCTAAATCGTAAATCACAAATTAAGATCAGAAAAGTCAGAGAAATATCTGAAATAAGTGACTGAATAATTTAAAAATTCAGGAAAATACTGTATTTTCGATTAACGTGTTCTTGTAGCCTATTACATTAGGAATCTATTTATGTATAATTTAACCCAGTGCCGATAATTTTTCGTTAAAAAATTGAATATACATTTAAAGTTTTTTTTAAAGTACCTATATTCATTTCATTTTTAGTAATATTTATTTTATCAAATACGGATAACCTCCCTTTGTTATTATCATTATTATTGTTATTATTACTAATATTATTATAATAAGACAAATTAAGTAGTAAAATTGCTTTATTTTGTGACATCTAACTTTTATGCATTTTCTTACATAGGCTGCTAACTCTGGCTGCTAGTTTCAGCTTCATTATATAATACAGTGTATAACGAAAGCTTAACATAAATAAAAAAGAATCCTTAATATTTTTAAATAAATTTGTTTCTCTTAGTGCCAGTCTTTTCACCTTTGAGTAAAGTTGAATAACTACTTGCTGATTAAACGATAGGCTGCTGTTTGCTAATCTGTCAAGTAAACATACATGTAACTTTACTCAGAGGTGAAAAGATGGGCCCTTAATCATGCGAATCAATTATCTTAATTATCAGTTATTGTGACATTACACTGCATAAATGGTAAACATAAATACGAACCCTTTCAAACCGTACGCCATTGATAATAGAGTACCTACCCCTCTCCCCTCACGTCTAAAGTGATGACCCCGCTTATACATAACAAAATACATTGAATGATATCTCTAGTCTTATAAGCTCTAAGACCATAATCTTCTTATTCTAGTCGACGACTGGCTGTTACCCCGTTGCCATTCTATTAACTTATATACAAGTCGTATGCATAACACTGTATATAAGATTAGAAAAAAAATTTATTAGAAATTAACCTATTTATTTTTAAATTGCGGAAAACTCAAGAAGAAAATATCCACATTAGGAATGGCGTTTACACTTTTAGACATTGAATATAAGGGTGAATTAAAGTAATGATAAGTGTTGGGTACGGGAATATAATATAAACATTACTCACTCTGAGATATTCGGCGTTACTGTTTCTTCTTGAATTTTCGGTATTTCGCCTTCGGAATCATTATCAAGTTCTATTTCTTCTTCTATTGCATTTTCTGGCTTAAAATTTTGATACAAATAGTTTCTCGGTCTCTTGCAATGGCAACGTTTACCTTTAACCATACGGTATTTGGGATGATTTTAATGAAAAAAGGATGTTTTTATGGGCCATGAAATGAATGTAACGCTCACATTTTCAATGTGTGGTATCACTCAATTTGACAGTTAATTTTCCGATAATTTTAATACATATTTTGATGTAAGTAACTTGGTGTAGAGTAATCATTGAGTTAGTATGAGTGCTTTCGATTTAAAGGAGTGAGCAGATGTAGTGTGTGACATCATCAAAATGCGTAGCTAGGCTAGAGTATAATAAATATGAATATTTCGAACAGGCGTAGTCACATACTTTGATTACTATACGGTGCAAGACAGAGGTCCGACACGCCCACGGCGTAGAGCATTTAGATCCTAATTTGAGGTTACTTTTCTTGTAAATTGCTGTAAATTTCCGTTCTAATGGAAAATAATGTTTTTCTTAGTTTTATTTTTAATTGTTTTTCCATTATTAAGATGAGAATGAAGAATTGGCAGCTTATTCTCGTTTAGTAAAAATAGAAAATTATGTGGAAGAAATAGTCACCAACAACTTTTGAAAATTTATTAACTAAAATTAACCATGTGGATAAAGAAGCACCTAGTAGAACCCAAAGAAACCCTGAAATTTCTATGGAAAAGCAGTTATTAATAACTCTTTGGTATTTAGCCAACATTGAATGTTATCATAGTGTACCAAACAGCTCTAATAGCATAGTATTGTTACACGAACGTTCCAGATACATACCCTTGGGACGTTAGGAACGTCTCTGTCATGTTTCTTATTCTTCACATACTTTGATTACTATACGGTGCAAGAGAGAGGTCCGACACGCCCAACATAGGGCGCGGCCATTTTGATTCCTGTCATATGTCAATATTGTCATTTGACGGTAGACGTGTTCGGTTAATACTCCGCGAGCAAATCAAATATGAGGTTTATTTCTTTTCATCGAAAATATCGTTCCATCCATACAATTTGTATAAATGAAACGATATTTTCATAAGTACTGTAGCTCAGTGCTACACTTTCAATGCAAAAAACTAGATTTCAACACGAGGACTTCCTTCAATAGTGTATTTTTTTAGCTCGCGGAGGATTAACCGAACTTTCCTGCTGAGCCAGAAGGAAGGGTATATTCTCCTCTGTCGAAAATAGATTACGAAAATAGAATACCTAAAACATAATTACGATGTTTCTAAAACGTTCATGAGAAATCATTCCAGAAACGTTTCTTTAGAGACATCGTAGGGACGTACCATTTATGTCAGAAACATAGAAACATACATGGAACCTAAATGGGACGTTTCTGGCAAATCGGTGTTATTAGGGAGGATTGGTGTAAGCACTTTTACTGCCCGGAATAGTGTTTTTAAAATACGTAAGAAACTCTTATTAGTTAATAATCAGCATAGAATAATTAGTTTTCCTATTGATGAAGAAAGATCTAACTTGATAATTGCAAATTTCTAAAGAAATAATGGGTTTCTTGGAATTTTAGGAGCAATTGATGGGAGTCACATTCCTATAAAAGCTCCCACGATAAATTCCACCTCCTATATCAACAGAACACATTTCTGTTTTATTGCATATGCCTTCACATACTTTGATTTTCTTTTACTATACGGAGAATGGTCGCACTGCGCAGCTTTCTGAGTGCCTTTTAAAAGGAGATAGAAAACTACGCCATTTTGATCCCTTATTACGTATTGCCTACGTCTTGGCGCAATATTTTTAATAGATGCGTTTTAATCATCCGCTTCTGCTTTGGAATTGTCGGTTTTCTTGTTTTAATCTGACAGGTTAAAACGACTAAACCGACAATTCCGGAAGCAGAAGCGGATGATTAAAACGCACGGATACAAATTCAGGATACGCAGAAGACTGCTGTTTTATTATAGGCGGTTGTAATATATAGTATTATCCGAGTTGCACAGTGTATAAACTGAAACATTGAGATCCAAAGTGCCGACGCAGAGTGAGCGATCTGATTCTTTAGCTGTAAACTGTGTCACAGGGTTCAAAATGGCCGCGCCCTATGTTGGACGTGTCGGACCTCTCTCTTGCCTCGTATAGTAATCAAAGTATGTGGTTATTTCATGTAAAATTCCTTCCTCAAGTTCCGGTGTTCTTACTGTTTGATGAACTACTTAAGCCCTGTGATCTACTTTTAAAGTTCCGGTTGATATACATGTACCTAGAAGGTTTAGAATTAAAATACAATGAAAACAAATTTTAAGTGTATTTGACCTATAATAAGGCGATGTTAATATCTCAGGGGTTAGGTACTTAAAGGGATGAATACAATAAAACTAATCGATTACCTTACGTGGTTTTATTTAAATTGATTTCTTGGACCGGGACAGTCTGATTCTCTTCTTTTTATCTTTTTTCTGGTATTGCCATGTGGAAAATAGTGAGGTTATGTTACAAGATTTTAAATGTAGCTGTTGTTGTTCATTTGAAAATAAATGATATGTTAGGTTTTCTGTCTTCATACTCTTGCAAAAACAAAACGTTGAATTTCAACTTATCGATTGAAAGACCAACGATGCTAGTACATAGAAAGTCCCATAGACGTCCCATGGACGTCCCATTAACGTCCTGGACTCTGACCCAAAACTAAATGCTTTGTCAAAACGGTACCAAAATAGGACGTCCAGAGGACGTCTTTCGAAGGACGTCCTAGTGTTCACGGTAATCGGAAGTCCAGTGGACGTCCTACCGGACCATTTGCTTTAAGAGGGCACCATACGAAAATAGGTCTATAGACCAAAGGAGAGTATGGATGTTTTGGGTTTCTCATGATTTTTTTTATATATTTAAAAAAACTTGAAAATCTAAGGGAGGAACACGAAAATTTGTTTTTATATTAAAAGTATAAGCTTAAAATGAATTTCCATTGCTAAAATTATTAATAGGGAGCGTAGGAGGCTGTGCACTTGACACAAGACGTCAAATATTATTACAGAAACGTTTATAAATATCCTTTCTGTTATGTTTAGACCCCATGTGTGATACATATTTGTAATCGGGGTGTTAAACCCTTTCAAGTGGTATATCACAAGACCTATGTTGCTATTTAAAAAATCAAGATGGCGGCTATGCTTAAAATTTTGTAATTATAAAAAAATAATTTTTGGGCTAAAATATGCGCAAATATATTTAGATGAAATTCTAAAATTTTGGGTTTTGTATGTTGAACCGTTTAAGGTTTGGTTCCATCTTTAACAGCTACCCTGTATATCCTTTTCACCTTCCTACTATTATAATGGCTCCAATAAAATGTTTCTGTTGTGATAATTATATCATTAAAAAAAGCACTCCTAAACCTGCCAATAATGCGATTTACCGCGAATTTTTAATAAATATGAGGAGGACTAGACAAGTAGAATGGGTTGAACCAGCGGCCCATTGTCGTATTTGCTGTTGTGCATTTAGACGTCAAGGTAAATAATTATTATCGCAATAGGAACAAAATGTTTAAGCATTAATAAAATTTTATAATTTTTATTTTGAAAATATGTTTTAAGAAAAACTGTATTACAAGTTTTTACTTAATAATGAAACTTAATAATAGTAGAACTTACTTTAACTAAATTATGCATTCTAAATTAAAAAAACATGTTTTTCCGGCACTCCTCGCTAGGTGCGGGAATAGGGAAAAATGTTGTCTTTCATAGTGAAGAAAAGACAGTAATTGATTTATATATTTACATAAATAATTTTTTAAGGTAATCCAGAACTTGTTAACAATGAAAATCATAATGAAAATGATGAAACTGTTAGAGGAGGCTTGAAACTACCAAGCAACCAGTTGGTATGTTGTGTGTGCGGGGTTAATATCCGGCAACGTGTTTTAAAGAGAGCAGCTTTACAATTATGGATGCAGTGCCGAATATTTTGCCATCCAGAAAATCGATGCTGTCCAAATCACCTAGGTAATGGAGTATTTTCTGACGAGGCACTTGGACTGATCAGATTGCGAGCAACACCAAGATCTTTAAGTATACTTGAAAGTGAAGCACTCGTAAATCTCCTCACTGAGCGTGTTAGTGCGTTAGAGAATCAGTCAAACATGTTTGACTTTGATTCTCAAAATATGTAAGATGAAGACTACAAATGTTTGACTGATCTCAATAGGGCACAATTCAATACTCATGCCGAACATAACGATGACATAAAATATAGGAAAAACCTAAGCAAGAAAAACTGTATTGTATTTTTGCTTGTCAAATTAAGGGTTGATCTCAGTCAGAAAGTTTTAGGGAGCATGAAACCAAAACAGCAACCTCGAGTTAGTGAGATTTTTCAAGGTGTTTTGGTGTCATTAACCAATAATTTTGTACCGTCTTGTACCATCTTGATTATAGGCATATAACTCAAGAGGATTACGCTCAACTACACAGTACCACAAAAAACAGACTTTGCCGTGCCCAAGCTGATTATTTGGTAGTTTTGGTAGATGCTACCTATCTGCATCACCAAAAACCATTGGATCACAGATCTCAAAGAAACATTTATTGCGTTCAAAAAAAGGGACAATCTAGTTAAGTTTTCCATTGAAATTGCACCAGATGTATATATAATAGATGTTTCAGGTCCTCATGCATAAGATGCGGCAAATAATGATTCATCCATTTTTAATGCCATGGCTTTGAATGATAACGGATTTGTTACATTTTTTCGCGAGAATGACAACATTATTTATGATTGAGGATACATAGACTCGACTGGTTTATGCCAAAATATAGGTCTAAACGTTTTTATTCCACATTTCCTACTAAATGGTCAACGGCAACTGACAACACAACAGGCTAACGAATCTCGTCTGGTCACCATGCTTAGATGGGTAGTTGAAGCAGTGTTTGGTCGATTACACAATAAGTTCAGATTCTTACGGAATGTAGTTCCTAACAGTTATACATGTGAAATATTATCAAACATATTCCAAGTGTCATGTGCAATTATTTCAAATGCATTCCTTCCAGCTATAACCAAAAACGGTCCAGAAGACGATGTATTCTGCAATCGTGTTTTAGAACTCATTAATAGGCCGAATAATTTACTAGAAAGAGTCATGGAAGAAAATCTATTAAGACGTCGCATCAATTGGCC